ATAGTTATAAAGTTGTATTTAATTTGAAAACGTGGAGTAAGTATTTTTGCTTGTTTACTACCATACTTAATAATTATGAAAAATACTAAATATAATTTCGGATACCATATTTTTCAATATAGACTAATGAACATTTTTAACAGACTTCAAAAAAGTAGGATGGTTATCAATTCATATCAATATTGTTTTTGTGTACATATATTACCGCCCAACTATGGACCATATGAGCCTTTTTTTTTAATCGGAAAGGTGCTACCTCAGGGGTGGTTCCATACGAATTTGGTTTAGTTACTATTATGGGGTCATTAAAAAATTGAAGGTGTTCCTAAGTTTTTATATGTATGTGCATATAAACGATACTTGGATATATGTAGCTTTTGACAGCATGAGTGAGTTCAATGAACAATTTTTTTTTTTTTTATTGGAAAGGAGAATAGATTTAGTTCCCATGACTAGCTCATTATACACAGTGTTATGAATTATACATTATTATTAATTATGCGCATGTGTGTTCTATGAGTTCCAAAAAGTTATTTCATCATTGTTTCGAAATAGATGGAACAGCACTTGGAAAATTCATCTCGGCTTTTTGGTTTGACTCATATGTATGTACAATATGTACTCCTATACGATTATGAATTACCTCTGCGGTTATTGTCAATAATTTATCCAAAGACCCTTGTTGATACCCTGTTATTCCTTTTGTAAACTTTGGGGCTTCCTTAGGTGTTTGATATTCTTGGGGAAAGTCCAGTGAAGATGAATTATATATGTACATATGTAGATAGCAAATTTCCCCATTTCATCATTCGCTATGTACACATGTTAATTTAAAAACAGCTTTGAAAAACAGATTTGATCTTTCAGACAAAAGTGTACTATTTGCCTGTCCAAGACTGTAAATACGTGTGGCTCTTAGTTCGCTTTGTGAATCTTCTAGCCCAAAGAGCTCAAAAGAGTATACGTATGTACGCAAGAATGATAGAATACAAGATTGCGCCGATCAGA